GCGCCTGCCCGCGCTCACCATCCCGCTGCCCGCGCCGCTCGGCCGGCTCGAGGAGGTGTTCAGGGAGGTCCAGACCCTCAAGGACGCCGTGGCCAGCCTGCAGAAGTCCTGCCAGGACTGCAGGCTGCAGGCCGACGAGCACCGGGACCCCCCGCTGTCCCCCAGCCCGGGACCCCCGGGGGAGAACGGCGACCTCCGCGTGCAGGACCTGGAGAGCCAGGTGCACGAGCTGTCGTCGGAGCTAAAGGGCGCCCGCGAGGAGATCGGCGCGCTCCACCGGCGCCTGGAGAAGCTGAGTCTCGTAAATATGAACAACATCGAGAACTACGTTGACAGCAAAGTCGCCAATCTGACATTTGTGGTCAACAGTTTGGACGGGAAGTGCTCGTCCCAGTGCCCCAGCCAAGAACAAATCCAGTCCCGCCCAGGTACGTGGAACAATGTTTCCTTATCACTTGTTCACGATGACCGTATCTATAAACATTAACCTGAGCCAGTAAGTTAAATAGACGATGGGTTAAGTCAATAAGCCTTTTATTGGTTAAAGTTGTCCAGGAAAAACAACTGCCTCTCAGAGGTGACCACAGAAATGCTATAGGACCTAATGACAGAAATCATTAGCTGTGTAGCTATGAGAAAGCGCTTTCAGCTGGGCGTGGTGGCGCAGGCCTGTCATCCCAGCACTGGAGAGGCTGAGGCAGGAGGATCATTGTGAGTTCGAGACCAGCCTGGGCTACAAACTGAGCTCAAGCCCAGCCTAAACTGCATAGTAAGACTCCGTCTCAAAAAAGAAGTGCTTTCAGTTTCCAAATCTTACTTGCTAATATCAGACCTACACACAAGCAGGAGCAGAGAGACAAATTTCTTTATGGTTTAGTGCTTTATCTCTTCACTGAAGTGTTTAAAAACAAGAGCGATAAGGCAGTGTTTGCAGTTGTGCTTCGTTTGTAGGAAATCAGCTTTTCTTGTGGTTGGCTGACTGCCACTTCTCGTGTAGCAACAAGGGGTCTTCGCAAGATTTGAGCAAGTAACCTGCTAAATAATTGTGATCTTCATTATCTAGTGAAGACAGGGGACTGGAGAGTTGGAATAAAAACTGTTTCCTGTGTGGATAAAACCTTTCTCTTTGAGACCTAGTGGCACAAATATGTTTTAAGGGGAGAATTCTGTCATGCCATCGAGGGAAGGAACACATTACATTCTTAGCTCTTTGTCTCTTTTATATTAGCCTTCAAGCACATAAAAACAGAACCCAGGTTACTTTTTTTTTGTACCAGGAATCGAACTCAGGACCTTGAGCTTGCCAGGCAGGCGCTGTGCCACTGACCTATATCCCCAGCCAAGGTTACTTAATTTTAATAAATACATGTTAAAGACCACAGACCTAACTGCTTCCTCTGCTCATGTGCTTTAGGGGTACTAGTTCCACCAAGCCCTGCCCTTCCATCTGGATTCCTGGAACCACTGCAGTTACCCTTGGGAAAGCCATTTCTGTCTTAGGGCCTCTACTTGCCCACAGTGAGGCTGAGGGACATGGTAGTGGGCCCTGGCTGGGACATTATACCCCAGGGATGCCCATCCCAGGGAGCCTGTGGCAACAGGAAGTCATGTTTTCAAGGACCACTCTCGCTAGGATTCCTGGCAGCCTGCATGTGCGTGTCCCCTGTGTGTTGCAAGACAGGTTCACAGCTTAGGTGACACTGCATGGTGACTTGTATTGATGTGAACAAGATTCTGTTATTCATTTTTCTCCTGAAAGTTTTAGGAAAAAATCTGAATTTGTGTTCTAAATGCATCTGAATAGGTTTTCATGCCTTAGAATGTCCTCTATTAAACTTACCTGTCACTAATGTTTATAAAATTTACCTGGCAGTATGTCTGTCTTTGATTTCTACAAAACCCTGTTAACTGATGACATTTATCCTGAATATAATTATTTGTTTCCTTTAGAACCAAACATGTATAATACTGGCTGAATATTCCTTCCTGGATAATAAATATAGAACAATATTGGTACACTGTTGAAAAGGAGCTTTTTTCTCTTGAGTTTCTTTACACAGTTATCACGTAAAATAAATGTGAATCTATGATCGATGCTGTACCATAAGTTTGGAGCATATTCTACAAAGCCCCCAGGTGTGGAAGTCACCAGCAACTTCAGGTTAAAGGACACAGAAGTGGGGCTTCCTCTGTGTGCCTAGAACGCAGGTCCAGGAGGGTGACAGTCGTCAGAATTTTAGGACAGAGGAATGCAGCGATTATGAGAATAACCTCTGCTGCCACCCAGATCTGAGTTTGTGTCCTAGCTCTGCCACTCAATGCTTCGATGAACTTGGGCAAACTGATGACCCTCTTTGAGTCTAAATATCCTCATCAGCAAACTGGCAAAACACCTGCAGCATAAGATGAACCGTGAAACTGTTGTCTAGTCTGTGGCAGACTGCCTAGAACATAGGCCTAGTCCTCATTAAATAGCACTTTGACTTGTGCTTTTCTTGTTGCTGTTTGCAGTTGATGTTGTCACCGTTAGTACCAACCAAGGCTGTCAGACAGCCCTGTCCTCTTTATAACAGCAGCTTGTGTCCTGAGGCTTCCACGAGTGTTTCCTAACCAGACTCTGGCAGGTGTGGCAGAGTGAGTTCCCATCGGACCCTTCATTAAGTGACCAAACTGCCTTTGAGTATGTAAAGAATTCTTGAGATGCATTCATTTCTTGAACAATACCCAATGCCTTTCTTTTCCTCTCCCTTCAGTTCAACATCTGATATACAAAGACTGCTCTGACTACTACGTAATAGGCAGAAGAAGCAGCGAGACCTACAGAGTTACACCTGATCCCAAAAACAGCAGCTTCGAGGTGCCCTGCGACATGGAGAGGCTGGGCGGAGGCTGGACGGTGCTGCAGGCGCGGCTGGATGGCAGCACCAACTTCTCCAGGAACTGGCGCGACTACAAGGAAGGCTTTGGCAACCTCCACCGGGAGTTCTGGCTGGGAAACGATAAGATTCACCTTCTGACCAAGAGCAAGGAGATGATCCTGAGAATAGACCTCGAGGACTTTGAGGGTGTCAAGCTGTACGCGGTGTATGACCACTTTTACGTGGCGAATGAGTTTCTCAAGTACCGTCTGCACGTTGGGAGCTACAGCGGCACAGCTGGGGACGCCCTGCGTTTCAGTAAACATTACAACCACGACCTGAAGTTCTTCACCACCCCGGACAGAGACAACGACCGCTATCCCTCGGGGAACTGCGGGCGCTACTACAGTTCGGGCTGGTGGTTTGATGCTTGTCTTTCAGCCAATTTAAATGGCAAATACTACCACCAGAAGTACAGAGGTGTCCGTAATGGGATTTTCTGGGGCACCTGGCCTGGGGTGAGTGAGGCGCAGCCTAATGGCTACAAGTCCTCCTTCAAAAGGGTCACGATGATGATTAGACCCAAGAACTTTAAGCCATAACAGCTGGGCTCATTTCACCAGGCATTTATATCTAATAGCGTGAGTCCTGCCTTTAGCACTTTGGGGTGTGCCTTCTTTCGGATCTCTTTTCCACAGCCAACACATTATCTCTGAGCATAGGTTCTTATGCTATATAGCATTTGGAATAAAGCTGAAAATATGCATTTTAAAGAGTCCTTTGCTGCTGTTAACCAAGGAATGCATGGAAGCATTGGAAATCTTAAAATAGATTCTATTTATGTCTTTTAATTTCTACTAATTAGAAATGTCTTTATTATTTGTATTACTTTCTATTATAAAAATGGCTTATTCAGCAAACTAGATGCTACACAAAGCAATCTCCACTTGGGCTGTGGCTGAACGTGCAAATTTGAAAATATATCACTCTTTTCAGGCTAGAAATGTTTATTTGTATATGTGTCCCTTAATACTGCAATGTTTGTTCTAAGATAAACTCACTCACTTTATGGCGTTTATTTTGGGCCAGGAAGACCTTACAGTATCTTACTTTCCAAGTAAAGGGAAATCATATATGTAATTAAACCTGTTCATGTAATACTCATGAAATCTAAAATATGGCATTTCCCTGCTGTTTTAATTTGGTACATATTTAATACTGTAAAATGAGGTATCTCAATGTCACCAACAAAACATTCAAAAAATAATGTAACTTTGAAAACTTTGGTTTAAAGTGCTTTGTTCAGGGCCTATAACTTTTCAGAAGTCTGATCGTAAAAACTGCTTTAACATACAAATTATCTTCCTCTGTTCTGCTTATATAGTGGTTCTTTTAATTTGAGATTGCTCACTATTGTGCTAGACTACTGCTCGCTTTTCTTTTTTTGGGATGGAAATGGGTGGGGAAAGAAGCGTCTATTTATACTTTGAAGGCCAGTTTTATATCCAGAGCCTTAATATCATTGAGTGATACATTTGCTAGGAAGCCAAGTTTTCTAGAAGGAATAGATAAATTTATTTATTAAAACATTTGAAATATATAAGGTAGTAGCTCAAATATTATATATTTCAACTCTAGCTAATAAATTTCTTATTTTGTTATCAGGAATTCAAAGATAAGTATTTTTTTAACCAAACAAAAGTGCCTGGATCTTTTATAATTTACTGATTCTGAAATGCTAAGTATTGTATTGAAATGATTATGAAAATATGTTTAATCATCATGAGAAGTATTGTTTCAGAAAGCAGTATTCTGTACATTTTAAAAATGCTATCCATTTGAAAATCATCATACTGTATGGGAGTCATAGCAACAAGTTTGGTCTTTAATTTTTAGTGTTTATTTCTAATAAGAGTAACCAAGTTTGCAAACTATATTCACAAAGATGGATCTTCACCTGTTTTTTGAAAACAATTAAGGGGCTAGGTGTGGTGGTGCACAACTGTAATCCCAGCACTGCGGAGGCTGAAGCAGGAGGATTCCTGAGAGTTAGAGGCCAGCCTGGGCTATATAGTGAATTAAAGGCCAGCCTGAGTTATATAGTGAAACCCTGTCTCAAAAAGCAAACAAAATTTTTAAAGAAGACAATGATTAAGGGGGATAGTTGTCTTAGGTAACAAGTTAGTTGTTCAAATATTAAACCGTTTAGAAGATCTTAAAGAAGCAAGCAAGGTATTCTTTCAAAAATGTTTAACACAAGGTTTTCAGGAAAATGTTATACAAAATAAGTTCTTAGAAATATTATTAAAATATTAGAATAAGTGCAAGTAGCATTAAATGATGATCAAATATAAAATATAGATTTCAAGCCTGTGTATCTACTAATGGGATACTAAATGATATAACCAAATTTATTTATTTATTTCTTATTTCTTTGCTTTTTAAAAAAGACTAACAAGATTTTGATATTATACAATGTATTGTGTCAGATAAATGCATTTATGTACTAAGTGTGATTACTAATACAAGTGTAAGTTTAAATTTCTGTCATAAATGTACTTATCACAAAACATAGTTCTAAAGAAACATGCTTATGGAAAGAGTGCCCATGATTTCAGTGGGAACTAGGCATCATTTCAGGGGAGTTTGGCAAATAATCATTAATCCATGTGAATACTCTGTCTTTGCACATTATTTCAAAGGATCAAAATTTTATTTTTTATTACTCTTTTATGACACTTTCCTAACAAATTCCTAAACACAGAAATTTCTTTTTGGAATAATTTCCTGTCATCCATTATAAAATATATTCCACACTATGGTAAGCTTTAACATATTGATAGTAGGTTGTATCTAAAGACTGCTTTGCCTTAATGTAACCATTTACTAATAAATGATAATGTTCATAAAAGTGGGCTATTTACAAATATATTATTTAAGAGTCTTCTCATGGTTGCATTTATCTTAAAAACTGTATTTCTAAAAGATCGTTTTTTAAAAATATCGACTGAAACTGAGTCTTAGAAATTCAAAATAGAATTGACTCACCTATCACTGAGAGGAAAAAAATCAAATCTTACTCAGAAGGAGTTACGCTCCAAATGGATTACTGGCATATGCACAATTTTCTTCAGTACTGGGGGATTGAAGCCAGGGTCTTTGCAGGCTGAGCTACATCCCTGGCCCTTTTTAAATTTCTTGTTTTGAGACAGGTCTCACTGAGTTGCTCAGACTGGTCTCAGACTTGCATTCCTTCTGCCTCGGTGTCCCAGAATGCTAGAGTTACTGGCATTACTTTTGACTGGCTACCCAAGAAAAAGTTTTCAAAAAAAGGGATGGGTCATTGCAGTAAGCTGTTAATTGAATTTTCTTTTATGTGTACTTTGGGTTATGTTTTATGTTTTTTTACAACCTTGTAAAATAAAAGATTTAATCTTCAAGTCTATTCTTCAATGTGGAAACCTTTTTGGTACAATAATATTTACATATTTGCTCTTGTTTGAAAAGTGGTATAGTGTTTCATGAATCTAGACAACATCCTTGACCCTTTGAAGATGTTAATAGTACTGTTTCATTAATGGGAAGAAAGGGGCAAATAGAGGAACACCAGTGTCTTATTTCCTCCTAGAATATGTTGACACACTTGCAATGTGAAGTTTTCAGTTTCATTTTGTGTCATTCAACTCCATCTGCTCTTTTCCCACTGTGGATGTTGCTGATCTGGTTCAGCCATTGTCTCCTAGGGATCGTGCGAACACTCCCTAAAGGCAGCCTCTACCTCCACTTACAGTCTGTTCCAGTTCATTTCCATATCACTGCCAGAGAGATCAGTGAGAAATACAGTTCTGACATTTTACTGCCCTGCTTAGAACTTTCAGCAGCTCCTCACTTCCTGTGAGATAAATTCCAGCATGAAATCCCCTTCAGGAACTGATTTCTGCCTAACCACGGAGGGTCAATTTCTGCCATCACTCGCCGGCACACAGATGCCTTGTTATGCAGGGACAAGTCGTGTTCTTTCTCGTTTTCACTGCTCTGCGGAGACTGTCCCTGGGTCTGGACACAATTCCATCCTTGCCACCCCTGGGTTTTGCCACCTGAGTCTTCCACGTTTGCATTTCAGCTCCACCACTCACAAGCTGTGTGATTACGGCTAGTCACTTAAACTCAGTGCTTCTTGGTTCCACCAGTTAGAACACTGGGATAATAGAATCTGCCTGGTAGGCTTAGTGGGAGGATTAAATGAGTTAACATACAAAGGACCTAAAGCATGCATGTTTTCTTTTGTCATCTGTGCGGTATTCCCTGATGACATGAGGTGGAGTTTGCACCTTTCATTTTTGATTCTGCACCATCCTGTACATTCCTTATGGTGCACTATTTAGAAACTGTCTAGATTTTATCCTGAAATGAATGTGTTTGCACAGAAGTGAAGCAGATTTGAGACCAAAGTATGGCTACTGATAATGGGTTGCCATTGAGGATGAGCTGTAACTCAAGCCAGGATTGTTATTGGAAAGGACTGCTTACTAGCAGATCTGCGGGCTTCAGAAATTAAAGGTGAGAAGTGATGGGGGGGGGTATAGCAAGACTGAATTACATATGCCCCAGGACAGGGTATGTAACAGCAGTCCTGGGACTGTGCCTCAGGTACTTGCTACCCACAGGGGTTTGGCTCCCAGCCTGAACAAATAATCGTTCAACTTGACCGAGTTCCTAAAGAAAAGGCAGTATGTTTTGTACGACTTACACTATAATTTTGAAATGAATTTTCTTCATACAAAAGTTCCTGAATTTTAAAAAATTAAATGTTATACAAAAGACCCTCTGCAAACCACCTTCATTTCGGATCTCCTTCTCTCAGAAGTAACAAGCCAAAGCAGCAGAACTCAAACTCTAAGCACACTCTGTGCCTTGTCAAGCTGCAGCTCTGCTGACTCGTAGCCTCTTCAAGCCTCTCTTGTTTGATTAGAAAGAGCTGTAAACAAGAGGAGATGGCTGCACTTGGGGAACTCGCGTGCCCTGAACCCCCAAAGGTGACCGAGACTCCCTTACTGCTTGAAGTGGTCTGTCCCCCAACATTCGAGGAAGCTCTTGTCTCACCGGAAGACACTGTTGTTTTCTTTCTTGAAGGAATGCTCTTAATTCTCCTTTAGCCTCTTGTTATGGTTTGTGTCTGGATGTCCCCGCCAAAGTCTCATGCAGCCTTGGGGTGAGCCCCAAGAGTTTTTGATTGATTCATGGTCCAGTTCTGGGATTATGGGTGTCAGTGCTACACCCGCCCTGGGGCGGGTAGTTTGCATACAATATAAGGGAGGGAAAGAGGTATGCTCTCTGCTGCTTCTCCCTTTTGCTCTTGTTGCTTTTGCTGTCTTCTACCACCATGAACTGTTACCCTCTGCCATGTGCCACGCTGCCTTGGAGCCAGCTGAGTATGGACTGAAACCTCCACAAACTGTGACCTAAATAAACCTTTCCCTCTTTAATTTGAGTGTCGGGTATTTTGTCTCAGCAATGAGAGAAAAGTAAGCAAGACACCTCCCTTTCTCCCACTCATCCAAATCCACAGACCAGTAGTCAGGGCACGCCCCCATACGAAGCATAAAGTCAAATTAGAGGGGAAGACTGCATGGCCTTGCTAATTTTTATCAACAGAAGGCTAGGGATGATGTGTAGACAGATTTTGAGGTTGCCTGAGTAAGGAAGAAGAAATAGTTTCAGATGTCACTGAATTTATTAATACAGTTATATTTATAAGAATGCAGATCTGCGTGGTTCTACTCATTTGCTTGCTCAACTAACTCAAACCTAGATAGCAGCTCATGTTAACTAACATCAAGAAGTCAGAAATGTCTTAAAACTCAAAGGCTTTTGGAGGTAGGAAATCCAGGGAAGAGTGAGCCTTAATACTTTCAATGAATATTTAGAATATATACCAGGTGCAGAAGTTTTCTAGAAGGCTGGAGATACATCAGTGAGCAATACAGACAAAAATCCACACAAGCTTACACATTATCAGAGCAGGCTACTGCATGTGCAATAAATGCCATGAACAATGAAGTGGAACTTTATCTCCACAGAGCGAAAGAAAGGCCAGTGCAAGCCAGGTGCTATCTGAGAGACACATGTTGGGAGCCAAGGGAGAACGGGGGTGACAGTCTGGAACCCGTGGAGTGATTGGCATGCTTGAGGGCTGGCAAAGAGGCCTATGTGGAAACAGCAGAGTCCAGGCTGGTGGGGTGTAGGAGATAAGATCAGAGGGGATCTGTGCGTGAGCAGGCGTGGGGCGGGGATCATGTTAGGTCTTGTAAACCATGGAAAGGATTCTGCCTTATCCTCTGGGTAGATAAGAGCCAGGAGGGGTTTGAGCAGAGGAGGG